GCTCCCCTCTCAGGATGCCCCAGATCGACTGAGGGGTCAGCACCTGTGTGGAGAAGCAGGTGACAGTGGTCCAGTCCTTGGAAAAGCGTTCTCTGGCCCAGATCGACCGAGGGGTCAGCACCTGTGCAGAGAAGCAGGTGACAGTGGTCCAGTCCTTGGAAAAGCGTTCTCTGGAGCACACAAAGGCCCAGGCTTCCTGCTCCCCTCTCAGGATGCCCCAGATCGACTGAGGGGTCAGCACCTGTGTGGAGAAGCAGGTGACAGTGGTCCAGTCCTTGGAAAAGCGTTCTCTGGAGCACACAAAGGCCAGGCTTCCTGCTCCCCCATCAGGATGCCCCAGATCGACTGAGGGGTCAGCACCTGTGCGGAGAAGCAGGTGACAGTGGCCTAGTCCTTGGAAAAGCGTTCTCTGTAGCACACAAAGGCCAGGCTTCCTGCTCCCCCATCAGGATGCCCCAGATTGACTGAGGGAGGGGTCAGCACCTGTGCGGAGAAGCAGGTGACAGTGGCCTAGAGCAAGTTGTAAGCATGTCTGCCCTTCAGCTATCACGCTGCAGCTTCAGGCATTCAAGCCACTGAAGTTCAGATTTTCTTTGTGAATGCAGACTTTAAACAAATTCATCTATTGCTGTTCAACTGACTGTAAAATTGGTAGATTTACTGTTGCCAAAAAAAAAGAAGAGAAACTGAGAGCTTTCACTTCCACTTTGGTAAGGTCATGGATACGTCCCAGGCTGCAAGCAAAACAGCCTTTAAAATCTTTGCAGTGGAAGCTAGCAACTTCCAGGGGGTGAAATCAGCCCAACAAAGACGGAAATGTCCAGCGGAAAGTCCTCCCTAGACAGTAAACGTGTGAAACTCCACATCTGAGAACTTGCCAAGATGTAATGATTTGCTTTTAATTCCATTTCCCTCAAAGACGGGAAACAGTGAGAGCACAAATTTGTTTCATCACTAACATTATATTTACTGTTAGTTCTGCTTCCTTACATAGCCTTCTAACTAGATCTCATGTGGCTGTTTAAACACATTATTGGGTTTTCTTTATAATGTAGAACACTAATAACTTGGTCCTGCTTTGCTTTGACTTACACAGTAGGAAACAGCACCTTTCATAAAGTTTCCTGTACTAGCTCTTTGTATTTCTGCATGATGTCTTATCATGGTAAAAGGAAATTATTTTCATTAAGTGTTTCAAAATGACCAAAGTTAACTGACTCACTCCTAAACTTAACATCTTTGAAATGGAAACATATGGCCCTGTTGTTTTTCCCAAGGAGACTTTTGAACCTATTTATTTTCTGCTTCATTCGGTTGCACAAGAGATTTTTCACAGAAGATAAATGGCCCTTCCATATATAAATATTCTTTTACTTAGTAGACATGAGAGCTTTTTAAAAAAATTCATCATAGTGTTATTCATTTTAGACAAACTTGTTTTGCTCATTCCCAACCACTGTCATGTTTTAATCATTGGTGCCATCCCTTTTGATAAATGATTAATCTGGAGTCTAATGTTATGGGAAATTTTACACATGATAAAGAAATTTATTCTGGGGCTTCCCTGGTGGCGCAGTGGTTAAGAATCCGCCTGCCAATGCAGGGGACATGGGTTCGAGCCCTGGTCTGGGAAGATCCCACATGCCGTGGAGCAATTAAGCCTGTGCACCACAACTACTGAGCCTGTGCTCTAGAGCCCACGAGCCACAACTACTGAGCCTGCGCTCTAGAGCCCGCGAGCCACAACTACTGAGGCCCATGCACCTAGAGCCCGTGCTCTGCAACAAGAGAAGCCACCGTAAGGAGAAGCCCGCGCACCGCAACAAAGAGTAGCCCCCGCTCGCTGCAACTAGAGAAAGCCCGAGCGCAGCAGCGAAGACCCAACCCAGCCAAAAATAAATATATAAATTTATTTTTTTAAAAAAGAAATTTTTTCTGAATCTAATAATAGTTTGAGAGTATGTGAAGGGTTTTAACACAGATGTGGTCACCAGATGTTCCAGCTCTTCTGAGGAACCAGCAGAAGTAGTTGCATGATGGATTTAGGTTACTTAAAGGAAGATTTCCTCAGTCCTTTAAAACAATGAAATGAGATAATGAGGGAGGGCTGAATCTCCTTGTTTGGAGTTTTGTTTTTTGTTTGTTTTTTTAAGTGTACAGATGTTTGCATGTTTAGAACGCATTAATCACACTTCTGCCTGTGGATAATGGTACAGATTCTGTAAGAAGGCTTCCAGCTTTCATGTGTTATGAGAATAGACACATAGTATTGGGCTGCGAGCATCTTCCGGAGGTTTTGAAGTCACCCCACATCAGCCAAAGCCCTGTCGCACCCTGCTTTCTCTGTCCCTTTCGACAAGTTTGTAAACACGTACCCAGGAGAGCAGAGCACGGACCCTCTCGGTTTTTAAATGGCACTGTGACGAGAAAGTGGCTGCCATTTAAGCCAACACTCTTGCTGGATATAGTTTGCACTGCACAGGCTCTCACGTGCAATAGACTCCCATTCTTTAGTTTTACCAAAATGTCCTGGCAGGAGTTTACAGTGTAATGGAGGGAGGCAAGGGGGCATCTAAACTACCTGCAATCTGTTAACAATTACCTGTTGAAGAATATGCAGAGTATTGGGCCTCACGCAGGCTCTACCACACGCACAGACCTTCAAAACAAACGCAGGACTATTAGCAGAGTAGCTTCTCAATTTGTTGCAGTCACTGTGGCATCATGAAGACACAGCCTAGTGTTAACAACTTTTAAAGACATCACCCACAGAGTAACGACTTTGTGGGACAGATATCTTGAACCTCAATGACCTGGGCTGAGCAACTGTGTTTCACACGCCTCCGTCCGCACCAGTGGGAGAGAGGGGACTTTGAAAGCTAACAGGCAAGGAGAGGGACAGAATATTTCCTTTAATCCTTCGTCAGAGCAAAAACATCAATACTTGCCTTGTGTGAGGAAATGTGTCGCTCAGGGACCCACCAGGAAAAGTATCATGGAAATTACCCTGTGGTGGAAAACGGAGAAGTTTCAGAATAGCCAGGATTTGAGTCATATTATGGAGTTACACTTCTACATTCTGGGCTTTGCTTTTTCGGTAAATTATGGGTAGAAACAATAACAATTTGGGAAGCTCTATACACTTCTGAGAGTCCTCTTCTCTGCACATACTGAATGAGACAGCTTACAGGGGCTTTGTGGTGCAGTCATATTCTGTCCCCAAACCAAGAAGGGCGCCTTAGCAAGCAGAGGCCATAAGTACAGGGAGGGGTCCTTAAAGACCCAGTTACCTGCTTTACTATCATTATTCAAAGGTCTTCAAAGTCACCCCCACTGGAGCTGAGCCCAAGACTCTCAACGATTCTTTAGAAGCTGCCCGGTCCCATTTCAGCTGGAGGTCAGAGCAGAGTTCAAAAGAAGAGCTAAAAAGAACCTGCTTCTCTCTCTGAGGGCATGTCTGTAACATCCACCCTTTCCTGCTCATCTCCTTCCAGGAACACCAAAGCCCCTCTCTTGTTGAGATATCTCACGATGGCAGTCTAGATAACTCCCCAAATCATCTATTCTGGCCACTCATACCTTCAAAGAGGGGCTGCAAAAAAAAAAAAAAAGGATGCTGACAGGTAGCTCCAGTTACCAAGGACAACTTGGTGTGAATTTATTCAAATCATAATCTCACCAAACTTTAAGTCCTGAGTTTGGGTATTAAACTCTTCAACCAATTTCACTTAGTATCTTCCCAGACTTGTAACTCCATTGACACTCATTTCATAAGGGACATTCAGCATTAAGAACACCAACTCTGGCACCAGGCTGCCTGGCTGGTTTTATTCTTGAATCTGCTACTAGCTGCGTGACCTTGGGCAAATTACTTACTTTCTTCAGGCTTCAGTTTCCTCATCTGTGAAATGAGGTCATTACATTTTCCTGAGGATTAAGCAACTCGAGAGAAGTCAATCACTTGTGTAACACTGCCCAGGCATGCACACAGGTAAATGCTGTAAATGCGGGCATTTGCAGGTGACAAGCACCTACCATTTCCCAAGTTTTGTGCTGGTCACTCCATCCCCAGATCTACACTACACAAACACATCTTGCTATTAAAGAATATTTTTGGTAGGATAAAATGAATCTTTAATTCTTCATGTTTAACTTGGAAAAGACCAACATGCAAATACTAACCTTGGCCTTTGGGCCTCACATAGTTTTTCTGGGTTTACCACTTCACTGTTTTCAACGAAAATTCAGTACCTACTATGCCCGACGACGCCGTGGATTTGATGAGGAAACGGAAACTTGGTCTTTGCTCTCAAGAAACTATTTAAGGCTGCATTAGTTTCCTCATCTGAAACGAAAGAGGTAATGCGAGACTTGAGCTGTTTAATGAGAATAAAGCGACGTGTCCTGCTGGACTACAAGTATCCAATAGAAGCAGTGTGCTCTCATATAAATCAAAGTATCCTCTAACTAGGTGGCTTCAGGGAGTCACGGCCACTGAGGAATTCCCACTCTGACAAGGAGGAATTTCCTACTGGAGAAGAGGCTAGAGGGGCAGGGGCTGGCACGGCGGTCTGCAGGCTCGCAGACCCCAAAGCAGGCAGGCAAGAGACCGGGTGCACGGTCCGCTCCCAGGGTTAAAACTGCTCCAGAGCCTGGACGCCGCACGCACGCCCCACGCCCGTGTGGTCCTCGGCCAAACGCTGACGGCTCCGAGCTCTCCGGGATACGGCACCACGGGGGCCTTCCGCGCCCGGCCCGGCGCTCGCAGGCCGCCAGTGCCGCTTACCTGGGAACCGACGGGAGCCTCTGCTTCCCGAGTCTGCCTGCTCACCTGCAAATGCAGGTGAGCAGTGCTTCCGAACTCACAATAATTATAAAGACGTTTATGAAATCGTTTATTAAGCATTCTATCAAAATAGTATTTTATTAAATAAAAAAGACGTGTATGAAAGCTCTAAGCCTAGTGGGAATACAGCCACACCGTGATCGGCACCAACGTAATGGACCGAGGGGATGGGAAGCTCCGATCGCAGCACCCCCTGCGGCGGCAGGAGCCAGGTGAACGGCAACTTCCCGCACGCACCTCCCCTCGCCCTCCGCATTTTGTGTCGGAGGACTTTAGGCCGCCGGCCGGAAAGGCGCTCCTCCTCACGTCACCTTTCCTTTAAAGACGCAGGCCGAAGCCCCGCCCACTACGGAAGGTGAAAGGGCCTCACACGGCGGAGCCCGTTTGCGGGCTCCTTCTGCCAAACCTTACCAATCGGCGGCCCGGAACAGGTAAAGCTAAAGGCAAGGGGCGCTGCGCGGGTGAGGGGACCTGCAGCGGGAGGACGGGGTCGTAGGGACGTGCCTGCGGAGGACGCCGCCTTGCGCTCGGCCGTGTCCCTGTCCCTGGAAGCTCAGTGCCGCCCACCCGCCAGCGGACAGGCCCTGCAGACCGTGCCGCGGGTTCGGGGGTTCGGCCGGGCTTAAAGCCGTCTTCGAGCCCAGGCTGCTGTCCGCGCACCCCGCAGCCGCAGCATCTAGACCTGCCGTCCACGGTCCTTCAGGCCCCTGGACCTTCCGCCCCGCTATCCCTGTGCACGTACGGGCACGCACGCAGGCCGTACGTCGCTACGGCCCGCTACGGCCCAGGCGCGCCGCGGGGGCGGAGCTCGGGTGGGCGTGGCCACCACAGATGCACGTGACCGGTCTGTTTGGCGCGCCGGGCTCCCCCCACCCCCCAGTCCCTGGCTCAGCGCGGAGCACTGGCGGGCGTGCAGGCTCTTTGCGGTCTGCGGCCAGAGAGGCGGCGTAGTGGGGAAGGTCGCTGAGTGATCTGGGATTTCTTGTTTTCCCATTTACCATTTACTAGGCTTCACGGCATAAGACTCCTGAAAGAAGTAAATACATTTTCTTACTGAAGAGCCGCAGTTCCAAGTACAGGTTATAAGAGGCTTCAGTGTAAGGAAGTGCAGAGTGGAGGGCTCTGGAAAATCAGCCACTGTTGACCGTGCCCAGCGCGATGCAGGGAAGGGTAAACCAGATGCGTTCCCTGCTTCACAGAACTTACTGTCTGAGAGAAACAGTAATAAGATAATCACAAAATTATAATCGTGGAAAGATGAGCTGTTCTGTGGTCGCACTTAACTCTGAGCTCAACAAGCAAATAGCGGGACACGGGGGAAAGGGGGTGTTGACCAGGGGAGAGCTGGCCTAGTCTGGGAGGTAATCAAAAGAACGCCCTGAGAAAGACCCCGCTAGACAGGAATGGAGTTTCCTAAACCAAGGGGGAGAACACTTCAAGATCGGAAAGGCCAGGGGGGTTTAGGCATAAATGAAGTTTGGAATGGAGTGAGGCCAGAAAGGTGCGAAGGACCTTGTGGCCTCCTGAAAGCTCTTGGTCTTTAATCTTCAGGCAGTTTTAGGTGGGCGGGCGCCGGGTGCCAGGACAACACCAGCGTTGCAGAGGGGAGAACTGATTGCAGAGCTCATGTTAGGAGACTGATGGGAATCCAAAGGAGAGGTGGAAGATGTCTTAAACTAGGGTGGTGGCAGTGGATATGGAGAGAAGTAGGTGGATTTATGGTGTTCGGAAGTAAGACTGAGGAGCCTTGGTGTTGGATTAGCTGTGAGAGTGCGGAAGAGCAGAAGTGGACAAGACGACGTGGCTCTGGACGGACTGAGATGCTGGTCACTGAGATAGGGAGTTCTGGAAAGTGAGATGACCGTTTAGAAAATTAATATACAGGAATAAGCACAACTTTTAATATTGAGTCGAGCGCAGGATTTAAGAGCTTTTCAAAAAATGTTTTGTGGATGGTTAACTTATTTCAATAAAATAAACTTAAAATTTTATGGCTAAAGAAATGTGGTTAAGTAATTGGCCAAGATATATGTTAGCTTTTTCCAGTGTTTTAGTCAGTGTTCTAGCTCGTCAACAGCTTGGCAGTGCGGAGAGTACTTCGTACAAAACTAGGGCCAGTGGACAGCAACCTGAAGGCTTGGTGACAGCAGTGCTCACCCCGGGCTGGAATGGGGCAGGTGGGGCAGTGGGCAGGGCAGCAGGCAGAAGGACTTAGTGAAACTCCTTGGGAAGGCGTGAGAAAGGATTCTTAAAGTCATCGGAATTGGCAAAATTAGTTTCACAAATATTTAGCCCACTAGAATCCATGTACCTTTTGGTTCAACCTCCCTGGAAAGAATAGACATCAATATAATGTCAGCTATGTAGGAAAGAAAAGCAGGGAGTGAACAAACAGAAGTGATCTTCACCTCTTCAGTTGATAGGAGTTTGGTAACAAAGGTGTTGTCAAATTATGTAAGATTTGTACATTTCATCGTAAATTTTGCCTCAAAATGAAAAGATTGTAAATGAATATTGAACTCCAGTTAATGATATGCATGCTGAAAGCGTGCTGAGTCTGACCTCTGTTACGGGGTGACGGCCAGAGTGCGCATTTCCCGCTTGAGTCTGGAAGTATTCTTTGGGTCACCCTTTGGCACCACTTGAATACCTTGTTTCCTCATCAGCTTTTTACCTAATGATTTTTGCATCCATCTTTGCCTGAGTCAGTGGTTTGATCGGAGGTGGCAAAATGGTGGTTTTCAAATTACTTTTACTTTTCTTCTCCATGTATTAGCTGGCATTCTCCTCTAAAGAACGCTTTTCTTCATCATCTGGGGGTGATTACAGTTCTTCTTAAAAAGGTAGGATAAATGCTTAGTTCTTTTTCAATGACCAATTTCCAGAGTAAGGAGTCAGAGTAGCAGTCACGTACAGTTGTGGCTAACCATCTTTCTTTTTCATAGATTTTTGCATATTCGGTGTGTTGAAATGAATTTCAGTCACTGATGTTTAAATTATCACACATTTGGCCCGTGGGAGTCTCTTCATGCGATCAAACTGTAAATGAAATGTAAACAAAATGGTAATACTATCAGGGAAACCTGAAGACTGGATATTTGAACATATAGAGGAATGATTATCAGTTGGGATGTGTTACTGTGTTTATTCAAAAGATACAAGAGTCCTCAGCTCTTACTGGAGTGTTTACTGATGACACAGGATTTACTCGGAAGTCGTTCACAGATGCTGGGGTCCCGGGAGTAGTTGCTGGTGGAGAGAAAGCCTGTTGGTCCACATGCTGCAAATCAAGGAGCTAAGTGATGGGTGCTTAGGCCTTTATTTTGCTGTTTTTTCTGTACATGCTTGAGAATTTTCCTAATAAGAAGTTTCTCAATTACTTGAATTTATGTTGATGTTTCCGATTCAAATTTCATATCACAGGTTTTTCCCTAACTCTGTTATTTATATTTCTATCTATGAAAAGCTTACTTTGAAGAAACAGGTATATCTTCCTTTTGGCTGATCCAAAGCCAAAATTTAGCTAGTGTTGAAGCATAATTGCTGTGTAAGTCAAGAAAATTTAAAGCCTTTTAAAATTTGAATAATAGCAAAGAAACTTTAAAAAAGTAAAGGTAAATAATAATTTTTAATTATTACATCAATAATTATATATTATTATAATTATATACTTATATAGTATGTCATATTTTATAATTTTTTATATTTTTTATAATTCATAAAATTATAATTTATATAAATTATAGTTATAATTTTTATATAATTATATATCATAATATTAAAATATAACTAATAATTATATATTATTATATTCAATTATTGTTCTTATAATAATTTTTCTACTCTTTACCTTTTCCTCTTCTTGGAAAATGTTTTTAAAGCTTTAAAAAAAATCTACATTATCTTTCTGAAATAGTTTTTATTTTGTAAACAAATAGAATTTATCAGTATTAAAATACTTCCTCTTTATAAAAAATTAGAGAGGCCTTCCCTGGTGGCACAGTGGTTGAGAGTCCGCCTGCCAATGCGGGGGACATGGGTTCGTGCCCCGGTCCGGGAAGATGCCCCGTGCCGCGGAGCGGCTGGGCCCGTGAGCCATGGCCACCGAGCCTGCGCGTCTGGAGCCTGTGCTCCACAACGGGAGAGGCCGCAACAGTGAGAGGCCCGCGTACCGCAAAAAAAAAAAAAAAAAAGAAAAATAATGGTAATTAGGAAGAATAGGGGAATGAAAATTACTGTGTCTTCAACCTTAAGGAAACCTCAGGGTTCTTCTTAAATCTCTTTTCATCTTTCTCCTGTGCCTAGTTTGTTCATTCGCCTCCTTGTTTTACAAAATCCTACCTATTGAATAGTATCTTCTGTGTAACGTGTTGGTAATTTATTACACGGGGCACACTAGCTTTCGTCTGTAACTGCTAGTTTCATCCTAACTCATACTGAACTTTGGGACTTGCTGCTGCTGCTCTTTTTCTGAGGATAATGGAAAAGTCGTCTCCAGTGTCTTCAGACTTTTCTGTTTGGTTTGCCGGCTTCCGCCATGTGGCAACAAGTATCTGAGTGTCTGTTATTGAACAGTAAGTATCTCAGCTATTTAAAACCCAGTTCAGTCCCACTGTGGAGCCTTTACAGCATCTGCAGCCCCAGTTAATGACCGTCAGGTAACCCATTCATTGTGGATGAAACATCTGGCCGTAGATCTCACTGAGGTTGGTGGACATTTGAAATGCCAGCTGGGAATTTTTTTTTTTTTTTTTTTTGTAAAGCATGGATCATTTTATTCAAGGTTTATTCATAAATCTGACAATATCTTCTCACGATACTATAGAAGAGCACCAGAAGAAAACTGACACAGCGGTATGATTGAATACTCCTGGAAAAAAGGGCCCCAGCTTTTAAATAAAGGAAGAAAATATACGGAGGAAAGTTCAGTATCTCTAGAATGAAAAGAGCACTCTTAAGGCGCATCTGCGGTGGGGGGCGCTGCTGCACCTGACGACCTGGAGATTTGCCTCCAGACACCGCCTGCCTCCTGGCGGTTTCCTTGGGCTCACGCAGTCATTCAGCACGTACGGTCAGCCCTCCGTATCCACAGGTTCCACATCCGTGGCTGCAACCAACCATGACTGAAAATACTCGAAAAAGAAAAAATTGCCAGAAAGTTCCAAAAAGCGACTGTGCCAGGCAACTATTTATATATCATTTCCATCGTATTAGGTATTATAAGTAATCTAGAGATGATTCAAAGTGTACAAGAGGATGTGCATAGGTTACGTGCGAACACTACAGCTTTTTATATAAGGGACTTGAGCATCCTCGGAGTTTGGCGTCCGTGCCAGGTGTCCTGGAACCAGTCCCGCGTGGATACCGAGGACGGCTGTACGTACTGAGAGAGGCTGTAGGCGCTAGCAGTGAACGAAGTAGACACGTGACGTTTTCTTATGAAGCTTACGTTCCAGTGAGGAAAGACTGTGAGTGTTCGTTCGTGTGTAGATCAGTGCATGTCAGCAGTGAACCTCTTTAAAAGGCAAGGTCGTGGGTTTGAAAGGATGGGATGTGCCGTTGACAGAGTGGACAGGGAAGGCGTCGCCGAGAAGTAAATGAACTGGCATCGTCTGAGGGAGAGGATCCCAACTGGGGCGGGGGCTGGGGGGAGGGCGCGCCCGGCGTTTACAGGAATGGCAGGGAGGCCCGGGCGGTTGGGACAGGGAGCGCAGGAAGCAGGGCGGGTGCTGTGGGCAGGGGTGGGTGGGGGCCTGGTCCCGGGGGCTCTGCAGCGAGGTGGGGGCCGCGGAGGGCTGTGGGCAGAGGAGCGCCGCGGCCTGACTTCCATGTTTTAAGGGGCAGGGGCAGCAGCGGGGAGGGCGGTCAGGAGGCTGGGACCTGATCCAGGTGAGAGGTGAGGGCGTGTCAGGGGCAGGGCGATAGACAGCGAGGGAGAAGGTGGAGTGCTTGGATCCTGCTGATTTTTAGAGGGCGAACAGTGGGATCTGCTGAAAAAGAAGGGTCAAGGATCACTCAGCTGTTCTGGGCCTGAGCGCCAGGGGGTGTATGTGAGGACAGGACACGGGAGGACAGAGCGGGGAGCAGGGCAGGTGGAATTCAGCTGTGGCCGTGCTGATGAGGGTGCCCGCTGGGTATCTGCGTGGAGGGGCTGGGTGGGCAGTTAATTCTGCAAGGGTGGCGTTCTGGGGGTGCTGGGGGGTTGGAGCCATAGCCACAGACCTGCGGGGGAGGGAGGTGAGAACGTGCGCCTCCCATCACTTTCCATAGTTTGCTGTTCATTCCCCCCACCCATGTCACTGGTCAACGATGGGCGTGGTTGGTGGTGACGGGTAGGAGGGGTGGGTTACCCAGCCCAGTGGGATCAGAGCTGGACCAGAGGGAGCTTCCAGTCTGAACAAACGCCCCAGGTGATGCTCTAGCAGGTGCCCCAGGGAGCCTTCTCTGAGAAGCACCGTCTAAGGCACCGCATCCTCTTCTCTCATTGATGAGCCGCACACACCTACCTCTCTGAGTTCTTGATTCTCTCGTGTTTCTCAGCAAACCCTAGATGAGATGAACGGGTCCTCTCATCACTCCCTCAGACACTTCTCAGGTCTACCTGTCATGTGGATGGTAGGAGGGACACATTACGGTGGACAAGCAACTAAAAAATCAAAGTGCCCCTTCTAAGTGCAGCGTTCATAGCCATGAAGTCAGACCACACGCGCCTGACGCTTTAGCTCACCTTCGGCAGCAATGCAGCACCTGCCTTGTGAGCGATGGATGTAGTTTATGAGGCCACTTTAATGTCAGGGCATTTCCTTTCTGAGAGTCCTAGTTCATTCTTCCAGGGGGTCAGCTGTCTTCCTGGAGGGTCCCCTTTCCCATAACAGTGTTCTTACCTTTTGTAGACCGTCAGATGTATTGATAAGTTGTTCATTACGTTCATGAAGAGGTGTTTGTGAGTCACCAGGGATTCAATATTCTGCATCGTCCTAAATAAAGCCTTAGGGTGATATCTGCTTTTGGAGCTGGCACTGTGAGATCCACGGGGAACGGAGTCAACTAAGATAACTTTTAAGTTTCCTGTGCATGGACCTGCAGTGTTCACAGGTGAGGTTCCCACAGGCTCACACACGCCCTCCATGTTCCGCAGCACCGACCCATGGGAATGAGTGATCGGACTTCAGTGAGCTTTTCTCCCTGCTTTTTAGGATGGCTGCTCTTTTGCTAAAGAGGTTAACATTACAAACTATAAAAACGGAAAATACTTGCATTAGAAGACGTTTGGGTAAATACGTCGTACAGAAGACGGCGCTGGCGGAACCATCCCACATTGCCTCTGCCCCAAGACCGTCCTGCCTCATTCACGCAGAAGCTTTTAGTACTGAAGACACCCAGGACAAGAGAGAAAAGAAAAAAAAGAATGAAACAGCTTTTCGTAACGTTGGAAGAAAAATTAACGAGCGCATCATTCAGGTGCTGGACGAGAAGGGCAACGACCTGGGCCCCATGCACCGAGCGAACGTGATCAGGCTCATGGCCAAGCAGGACCTGCGGCTGGTGCCGAGGGACCCCGGTGCCCAGCCCCCGCAGTACCAGCTCATGACGGGCACGCAGATCTACCAGGAGCGGCTCCGGCTCAGAGGGATGGAGAGGGCCGAGCCCAAGCCTGGTAGGTACCTTGCTGTCTGCCCCCGAGGTCCTCAGGACTGCAGATCCGCAGCTGAGGTCAGGCATTTGCCAGGGCCCCTGTGACAACAGGCCAGTGAGAAGCTGAGACGTCCTTTCACCACCGTTTCCAGTGTCTTTTTCGTCCACTTATTTCTATCCCTTTTTTTCTATTTTCCTTGCTACTCTTGTGTCTGTCATGTCTTCCTCTACACCTGTGTAAAATGAGGGGAAAACAAGGTGACCACCACCAAAATAATGGGAACCCCTTAACCCCCCCGACGGCTGCCTGGCCTTCCACTGCACACGGGCATGACGACGTGGACAGGTAGGGTGGGCTCCTGGTCCTGTCCTGGGCCGCTCACCTGTCGGGGCGCCCTCCTCCCCTGCTCCCATCATCTCTAAGCGTGTGTGTGTGTGTGTGTGTGTGTGTGTGTGTGCGCGCAGTTAATCACACGGAAGCACTCCCTAACTCTGAAGTGATTCCTGGAGCGTGCCCCACGCCCGTTTCGTCACAGTAAGGGTAGGAACGCTCACGTGATGTGCCAACTCACTTGTCATTTAAACCGTACAGAAGCCGTGAGTTGGATATTAAGTGAAGAGGTTTGCTTTTCGTGATTCCTAGTAAGTGCTGATCATTATAGAAAACACACTGGGACAGAGGTCAGAAGGCTGGCTCCAGAGCTGCACAGTAAGGCCACGTGTCAATTTTCTGACACCACATTTAACAACAGAGATGTTGACTGGAAAACAGAAACTATCCACAGAGGCCAGCTAGGATGATAAGGACATCAAACTATGTCACGTTTACAACAAAAAGGTGGACAGCCTGAGAAGCTTGGTTCAGAGATGGCTGAAGGGCTGACAGAGAACTCAGACCAGCTGGTAGGAGCTGTAAGGAAGCAAAGAGGTGTTAATAAAAGAACTCCTTTTTAGAAAAATTACTTTTATTTAAAGAAGAAAAAATATAAGAAAAGAAAGCCTAAAGAAAAAACATAATAAACACCTGTTACCCACCCTCCAAAATAAGAATAAGGATTAACTGGTTCCTTTTAAAGGACCACTTCTTTGTTCTTTCATCAGACAATGGTAATGATAAACAGAAGCATTCCATGTTGAAATACTCTTACTTGGCAGGTAAAAAATTGGTATTTTACCTGTGTCTGTCTCCCGTGTTTGAATGTTTACTGGCATGTGAAACTACTGGACAGGAGGACGTGTAGGGCCCCTGTAGCAATGCAGACTTAGGACGAGACAGACTAGCGCCAAGTCTCACTCTTTCAAACCAGGACCCACCCTGACAAAGGAACTGACTTTTTCTTCAAATATTGGACAACATGATTTGGACACAAAGAGTAAACAGATTCAGCAGTGGATCGAGAAAAAGTACAAAGTTCAAATTACAATAAAGAAAGGGAAGACTACAGAAGAGCCAGAAAACAAAATGGTGAGTAAAAGCAGGTGTGACTGACTGCCTGTGTGTTTTTGTTTTCTTTCTGATCTTAAAAATAAAACTGTAGAAAATCTGGGGAATGTAAAGGCAAAGAAAAGTAACTACTAATCCTACCCAGTGACGATAGTAGCTTTCCAATTTGTTTTTCAAAATGCAAAATGTACACGTTACTTTTTCCATTGTAGCATAAATACTTCGCCACATGAAAACACTCTAGTTCACAGGGCTTCCCTGGTGGCGCAGTGGTTAATAATCCGCCTGACAATGCAGGGGACACGGGTTCGAGCACTGGCCAGGAAGATCCCACATGCCACGGAGCAGCTAAGCCTGTGCGCCACAACTACTGAGCCTGCACTCTAGAGCCCGCGAGCCACAACTACTGAGCCCTGTGCTCTAGAGCCCGCGAGCCACAACTACTGAAGCCCGCGCACCTAGAGCCCATGCTCCGCAACAAGAGAAGCCACCGCAATGAGAAGCCCGTGCACTGCAACAAAGAGTAGCCCCCGCTCGCCGCAACTAGAGAAAGCCCGCGTTCAGCAGCAAAGACCCAACGCAAAACTAAAAATAAATTTATAAAAGAAAAACTCCTTTATAACTTACAGGCTATATGCTATTCTGTTTTACAAATTGTAGAGGATCCAGTACTTAAATAGGAAGTTAGAAACTTTATGGGTTCCTCTTCTAAAGTCTGTTTCCTCTTTATAAAGACCTATAAGCAGCATTCCATATAAAGTCGAATTGTCTTCCAGAAAGTGGCTATCAGTTGACAGTCCCAGGATAAGTCTGTGGACTATCTACTTTGCTTTTGGAGTTAGACAACTTGCAGCATCTAAAAGGCAGCATTGGTTTTCAACCTTAGTTCCACGTTAGAATGACTCAGGCCTAGGGCCCGGCCCAGCTCAGCCCAGCTGATCCAGAATCTCTAGAACTGAGTTGTATTTTTCTAACCACCCCAATGACTCTGTGAATGAGTGCTGGGAACGGCACTGGGCTGACAACCTGGGGGGAAAGGAGGGGTTCTGCCAGTGCCCAAACCCACTGCTTTGCACTGTTTTCGAGAGGGTGGTCTGGGCCAAACATAGCCCCTCAGTGCCATGACGGGATTTAAAACTATCAAGCCTTTAGTGCATTAGCCTAGTTACATGGAGTTTGTATAACTGCCTGCTTATCGTACAGGTTTCAGTCAGCTTAACCAGGTATGTACGATTCGATTCAGCAAATCCCTTAAATAGCAATTCAAGCATGCTGGTTTTTATGCGTATTAGAGCATTAACACGGGGAAGAATCAAAGATGTTGGTTTTAAATTAGTCTTTGGCTGTTTTCCTTTTCTAGGAGGAGATATGTAATCAAATACTCCAGACTATGCCTGGAATAGCTACCTTCTCATCCAGGCCACAGCCCATCAGAGGGGGAAAGGCTGTGATGTGTGTGCTTCGTCCCTTGAGCCAAAAGGAAGAGAATGCGTGCAGATCAGCTCTGGGGACCCAGAACGGAGACGCTCTGAACAGAGGAAATGGAAACGACGGAGCATCCAATGCTCTGCACCAGTGATTTTAATAAAAACGTGCTTCTGAGAGAAAATAACTGAGCTGGCTGGTCTGCGGTCCTTCAAACAAAGCAGTCTGGCGTGTAGCTGGGGCCAGCGTCGCCACGGCGGAGGGCACCTTGCCTTTAGTGCAGTTCAGAAGGCAGTTCAGTCTCCCCATTTCTGGGCAAAGACACGCCCTGGTTCTTTGTCCTTTTAGGAGGGATGTACCCACTGAGCCGAGAGGCCAGACTCCGTTTTTCATGAGACGGTCTCACCTTTGGGAATAAGGAAGACAGATTACAGGCAGGCCTCTGTATCTGCGGGTCAACCGACAGCTGATCAAAAATATTTTAAAAAAAGAAAAATCCAGAAAGTTCCAAAAAGCAAAATTTGAATTTACCGTGTGCCAACAATTTACATAGCATTTTCATTGTATTAGGTATTGTAAGTAACATAGAGATGATTTAAGGTATATGGAAGATGTGCGGAGGTTATATGCAAATACAGCTGACCCTTGAACTTGGGGGGGTTAGGCACGTGGACACCTGCGCAGTCGAAAATCCTCATATAACTTTACTTGGGCACCTGCGGATTTTGGTATTCTGGGGGTTCCTGGAACCAATTCCCCATGGATACCAAGGGACGACTGTAACTCGAATTCAAAATCAAAACTACTGGAATCGTATACCTATCAGGTATACAACTATCGCAGTATATACAACAACGAAACTACTGTCGTGAAGTAAGAAAGTGAAATCCACACAATTGCTCTGTATGGTAGTACAGCCTCACACAGTAATAAGTAGTTGAAAATATGCTAAATAGACTGCATCTAGTTTAAGCCAATTTATGTTTTAAAATTAACAGCTTGCTAAGTCTCAACTTACTTTGAGCTTCATTTTTTTCTTGTCAGGGTCATGCACAACGGCGTGCCTGCTGAGGCTCTGCTACAATGAAGGAAAAAGGAAAACAGTTTTACTTGTAAAACACTGCCACTTGGTATTTGGTGTCTGCTAATATGAAAACCCCATGAGTCATTTAAATAAACGGACAGCCTTCTTTCTGTTACATTCTGTTGAGAGATCTGACTTCTACCACTGGAGCAGAACTGTTCCTTAAATCTTGGACTAAAATCACTGCCTTTTACAAGGACCCAGGTTAGGAATGTATACATTTTCACCACGTGTGCCTGTGGCTTCCTAGTTCTTTCATAGTAAGGGTTTGGGGGGCCAGTTCTGAAAACCCTTCCGAGCTGAAGGAGGCTCTTCTAACTGAATCTGTGCCATCAGCATCGCCAAACACCAGTGGAAAATCTGACCCAAGTCCTGCTGTCCTCAGCACGAACATTGACCACCAGCAGTTCCATGGTTTTCTGACGGTCTGGGCTGTGCTAAGCCAGCCTCACCCCCACTTCAGTCTCTACCATTGTTCACACGAGCGCCTGTGAGAGCACCAACCGGGCGCGGGTCCTCGGAGCCGCACGGGCCCCTCCACCTGGGGTCACGGTCTCCAAGTCTAGACCAGTGTCCCGAAGCTCTAAGGTCCCCCATGTCCTTGTCTCTTGCTCCCCTTCTCAATCCCCAGATGATGGCAGCCCAGAAGGACACCCCAAATATCAACAGACTCATAAATAATAAGCATATGGTACCAGAGGCCACTGGGTCTCAAATTCCGTCACGTAAGAATCACCTGGAAAGTTCGTTAGAAAATGACTGGGCCCATCCCCCGAACTTCTGATTCAGTGGGTCTGGATGTGCATTTATCGCAAGTTCCCTGGCGATGCTGAGGGCCAGACTTTGAGCACAGCACTGGCAGGGGCGAATCTGTCTGCTCGCAGAGTTTGGTGAAGAACCACTCCTGCTGGAGCAGGAGTGAAGGGCCCGAGTCCCCCCCCAGCCTCCCCATCTGCCGCCTGGGGCCAGGCTCCCTGGAGCCCAGCAGCCCCCAAGGACGGCGCCCGGGCGGGGCGCTCACCTTCATGGCAAATGTCTTGCCGCAGCTGGTGTGCTCACACACGAACGGGCGCCACTCCTCGTGGAACGAGAGGATGTGGCTCTGGAGGTTGAACACGGTGGTGTAGGTGCGGCCGCAGCCTTCCCTGGGGCACCGACACATGTCCCTCTCTGGGGCGTGAATTCTCATATGCTGCTTCAGGAAATCCTTGCGCTTAAACGTCTTCTGGCACACGTCACATGTTATGTCCTCTGCGGGAGCAGACTAGCAAACTGAGCCCACTTCCCAGCTGTTACCATACAGGAAAAACTAATATGGAATGTATCAAGCGACATATTCGATGCCCAAAACCTTATGATGACACATAGATCAGAAATCTGGGAGGAAACTAACTCCAGTGTGCCTCAATTTTTCCAAGTTCCTACATGACATGAAGTCCCTGTTTTTGTCTGCAAGCAGCAGGGGTTCTCCACCCGGAGGTGCAGGGAGTTAAACGGACCAGTTTTCTTCCGTGTCCCCCAACACACAGGGCACGCTTCCCAGACTGCCCTGCAGACATCAGCCAGTGCCTCCCCGGAGGCCTCACCTGCCCGAGCCTTCAAAATGTGCACAGGCCTCGGCCCAGGACCACAGATCTCTGCTCACGTGTCAAACAGCTGAGGTACCCTGGACTTACCAGACATACTATAGAAACTCTGTGTTTTCAAGTTCACATTTAACGTTTCACCCCTTGAAAGCACTCAGTCAGTTCCACAGGAGCAGATACTTATATGCCCCTCGTGCCTGCCTTACCTTTATGGGCTTCTCTCACATGTTTCAGAAGCTCTGTCCATGTTTTTGCCACAAAAGAACATTCTTTTTGACACATATAGCCTATTTCAAAAAAAAAAAAAAAAAAACATTGGTGCACTGTCTTTTGTGAATACTCTGCATAAACACCAATCATAATTAGACTGAAAGGAAAATAATTATCAAAAAATCAAGCAAATTATCAAAAAAAATTAGACTGCAAGGTAGCTATGAAAACTAAGAAAAGTTTATTTTACAGTAAAACCAAACAACTGCATGTCAAGGTCCTTCATATAGGCTCTCCCTTCAGCAGGGCTTCAAGAGGAGGCCCTCCCTCTCCTGTTCTCAGTGGGCTGGGTACACGGCCCACGAACTCCCAGCTGCTGTGATGCACTCCCCCAACCCCGCCTCCATGGCTCAAGGCCCCTTTCCCCTCCCCCTGCTTTACCTTTGCCTCTTTTTTTACTCAGCCCTTTGCCCTGGATAAACCACCAAGGATAACCTTGCCCACCCCCAGCTTCCTGTAGTGTCAATATCTTGTAAATTTCATGCTGCAAAAAAGAACTAGGAAGAAGCAGCTAAAGGAAAAAAGAAAAGATTCCAGAGAAAAACTCTGAACAAAAATGGACACTGTGCAAAGCACTTGAACTGGATTAGTCAGTGTAACAGTCAGCCTGAGCTTCACCCAATTAAATACCAGATAGAAACTAAAAGCCTCAACTACTAGTCTCTTGTCTTTTAAAAAAAAAAAAAAAAAAAAAGGGGGGGACTTTCCTGGTGACGCAGTGGTTAAGAATCTACCTGCCAATACAGGGCAGACAAGTTCGAGCCCTGGTCCGGGAAGACCCACAGGCCGTGGAGCAACTAAGCCTGTGCGCCACAACTACTGAGCCTGTGCTCTAGAGCCCACGAGCCACAACTACTGAGCCCATGTGCCACAACTAACGAAGCCTGCGCGCCTAGGGCCTATGCTCCCCAACAAGAGAAGCCACCGCAATGAGAAGCCCGCGCACCTCAACAAAGAGTAGCCCCCGCTCGCCGCAACTAGAGAAAACCCGCGCACAGCAACGAAGACCCAACGCAGCCAAAAATAAATAAATTTTTTTTAAAGTCATATAAATTCTAAGGTTTGGGAAACTAGAATATGTATCAAAAATCCTTCATGGAAACAGAAGAGATTCAAGCTGTTGGCTTAATCAAGTCTTTCTGAAAAAAGTTACAACCTGATTACTCCAAAAACCTCAAACTATAATTCCAAGTCCTTTGAATGCCAACAAGGAAAGGAAAGAGAAGAGGTTAAAAGCAGCTGAAGCAGCAAAGCCACTGCTGGAGTTCCAACCCTTTCACAAGGAAGAAGCATAAGCAGGCACGGCTGTAAACAATAAACGTTAACTCTCAACAGCAACAACAGGGAGTGGAAGGGCAGACACGACACCCAGCACCTCTTTGGTCAAAAGCATAAAACCTGAACAGGCAGATGGAGCCCCTGCCCAAGCAGTTTCGGCTTCTTGGGATGACCACAGACTCGAGCAGTCAGAGAATTAACACGCTCTACTGCTGGTGTGCCCGTCAGAGTGGGCACCAGTACGTACCCTCGTGGACCTTCCCGTGTCGCTTCAGACTGCTGGGGGAAGCAAAGTGTTTTCCACATCCTTCGTGGGTACACCTGGGTCAACAACACATGAGCATTAGCTGATCCGTTTTCAGACAGAACTGTACTTAAATAGTATGTCGTCCTCATCCTGCCAAAGTCTCCTCTTCCCACAACCAAACCAGTCATAAAAATGGGATTTCAAATTCAGACCTAGTTGGAGATGAAATGCAAGTTACTTCACCAGCCTTGGGCAGAACAAACTGAGAGAAAAAAGTCATTACTTTCTTTTTTGCTTATGTGATGAGATTAAACAGTTTTCACCTTTATACCTCTGAAAATATACCGTTTTCATGGCAACAAAAAGATGGCTCAGGTAAACACCTAAGCCATCCTGAGTCATTTGCGTCTAGTTTTTCTAATGATGTTGCCATGGGATGGTGTGAAAAGAAAACAGCAGCAGATGCGTGGCCTCTGGGCGCCCCTTCTGCGCTCAGGCCACCAGCGGCACAGGAAGAGGCGGCAGAGCTGCAAGCAGGGATGGGCACTGTCAACGGCAACAAGTCCCAGGCAGGGGACCGCCCAGCCGCGCACAGCGCCAGCCAGGGCTCGCAGGACGGCCATCAGCAGGTGCCCTTTGCAGGTGTCTTCCAACGCGTCCGGTCACCTCTTCGTGTTCCTCCTGAAACCCTCTCTGGTGCAGGCTAAGCCCAGATACCTTTGTTCTACAGGAAAGGAATACTTAGTTCGCGCCACTGAACAGACTCTATTTGAATAGTTAGGACATAAGCCTTACCTTCGAGCTTAACCACAATTGTACTAATTTCACAAATTATTCTGAAACACATTAAATCTTTCTGTTAGAGAAACAAAAGCACAAACTTGTGAAATGCCCAATACATAACTGGGCATACACTGTGCAACTTAACAGGGAAAGGCTGATTGAGAAACTGCCTCTGAGCACTGGTATGCAACCTATGCGTTTTAATCTTACCCCCACCTGAACCTGAAGAGGTCTCACCCACGGGAGGTACCTACTTGAAGGGCGGTTCGTTGGTGTGCTGGCACTGATGGGTTTTCAGCTGCTGATGCTTCTTAAAGGCCTTCTTACAACCTTCAAAACTGCACTGTTTAAGTAAAGGTTTGGTAGTCTCAAAAAAAATCAAGAACAGCTCACAACAGAATCCTCTCAGGATAAAAATACCGCAGAAATTACATACTTGCTACTTTCACCCATTTAGTTACTATAAAATTCAAGAAGCTCTGAAGAGTAACACATATGAAACAGCAAAAACAATTCATTTGGGGTAGTCTACCAATAATATACTTTAATTAGCAAAAAAGTCTGCTTTCAAAATAAACCATTATTATGATAGCTAGTGTCAAACTAAATTCAGATATTTGACCAATTGATGAAAATTTTAGACACACAGGCAATAAACATTAAAAAAGTCAGAATTTAAGCATATAAAATCATTCATACTTACTACATATTGTTTTTGCTGGTTTTCATGTTTGCGTTCAAAATGTTTCTTCAAGTTTGCTTTTGTGTTGAATTTCTGATCACAGCCACTAGCTGTACAACTGTTAGGAAATTGTGTAAAAACCAAAATATTAACAAACCAAGGGAAGAGAAATTTTAAGATGTGTACATCCTCCCACTTTATAAAAGCTAATTATTCCAAAGTATAATAAAAAATAGTCTTTAACAAATTCCAAAGTGTTAAGCCATACCACATAACGCCTCTCAATTTGACGTGATTATATGTAACGAGAGATGCATTTTCTTGTTAGGCTTCTGAAATTAAGCACAGTGTAGCAGACATTATACAGTGGACAGAGGGAAGATGAAAAACACTAGTTCCAAAAGCCTAAACCCTGCTTAGACTTAAAATCATGCTTAAGTTAAACTGTTCTCAGTTTAGAATCTGGTAACTTTAATTTTGCTTGAAATGTCTCTACAAACTACATTTCCAGAAAGACCTCAAACAAACAAAACAAACAAAAAAACTGGTTTCATCTTATCCTTAGGAGTAAAAAGATATTTACAGAACCATAAACCATTAGGCCCTGTGACATGTCACCAAGCCGGTGCAGTTCCCCTTAATGAGCGCTTCTGTATCTTGACCTTGAATTATCTAAATTCTTTGTGATTTTTAATATGTGCTCTTTTTGTGATGAGTTTTCATAAGCCGGATGGATGAGGCAGGACTTCCTTTGCAAGCCCTCATCTTACCCATCATTCACCGATAAACCCCGAATAACACTCCCATCAGGCACCACGCTATCCACAGGGACAGGCAGGAAAAGGTGCAGAGTGACAGGGGGAGAAATGCCCAGAGGCCCACTGGAAGGACACAAGAGGGGTGCTGTGGCAGAGGCCACCCCCCCGAGTTCCAACACGTGCTATTTCTGACCTCAGGAACAAAACGCTCACTTTCAGCTGGGTTCACAGCCAACAGAAACAGAGCTTCTTCCAGCCTCCCTTGTGGTCCCACCGCTAAGTGCTGGCCCATCCTGCTCAGCTCCCACAGGTGTCTAAAGAGGGGGCACACCTCTTTTGCCCCTCCCTCCATCCCAGTGGCAGGAATGCTTATGTGACAGGTGGAGCTCCAACAGCCATCTTGGACCATGAGGACTGCAGAGGACGTTAGGAGGAGCCCCTATCCACCTCGGCCTTTCTGCATCTTAGTTATGCAAGAGAAACAGAGACTATCCTGTTTAAGCCTCTATTGGGCTGAGTTTTCCGTCACTCTTGACTTCAATCCTGACACAGACATCTAACCCAACACCACTGTGGGGAAGAAAAGGGCCAGGAAAGTCCTGCCAGGAACCAAACAGCAGAGACAGGGGGTGTGAGACACCCTGGCAAAGCTGGGGGTGGGAGTGCTGCTGCCCAGTTAAGAAGAGCTGGACCACCACTTCCTGTCAGAGTCCAGCAAATGGGGCGAGACCACAAAAGTGCCCAGGCACAAAGGTCATCACATAAGCAGTGCTCAAAACCACTGCCCAGTTTTAGGAAAGGAAGCAATCTAGAGGGTGATGTGAGAGAGGGCCGGGGAAACAGCCTTCAAGTGAGGCGTGCAGGCCAGCGCCTGAACCGAGACACGGGCAGCTGGGGGAGGGGAGAGGCCCTGAGGGGTAAGGACAGCCCTTGCAGACCTCCTGCTGTGGAGGATGGGAGGGAAGAACCAGGAGTCCTGCGGGTCAGCAAGCAGGCAGTGATGCCGCCTGACAAGAACGAGACCAAGGACAAAGCTTGTGGACTGTCAGGGACCTGGGCCCCATGGAACCAGGGAGACAGCCAAATAACGCCGCGCAGCAAGCAGCTGGACTCGGGGATCTGGCGCTAAAGAGAGGGACGTGGGCTGGAGAGCGAGCCGGAAGAGACACTGCAGTCGTCCTGCTCCAGCAGGAGTAGCCCTCGCCATTCTCTCCAACCCGCGCATCCACATCCAGCCCCATTTTTATTTAAGACTTAGTGTTTTAAATATAAATAGTATACGGCCACTTAGCTCAGAAACCAAAGGCATGGAGAGGGACACAGCTGCATGGTTCCTTCCACCCCTGCCCCTACCCACCCAGGACTCCCACCACTCCCAAGACAGGCAACAACGTTCTTTAGTTTTGCTATGTAGCCTTTAGGATTTCTTTATACAAACAGAAGCAAATATAAATAGAGGACTTGTTGTCTACCTCCCCTGCTCCTTTTTACACACAAACAGGTAGCCCGAAATACACCCTCTTCGGAACCTTGGTTTTTCAACTAATAAGCCCCAGAGATTTTCTTAGTTTCACTGGGAACACCTGCATTCCTTTTTCCCCTCTGTATAGTATTCCACGGGTGTGGATATACTTTACCTGGTCCTTCCTGATGAGCAGGAGGGCTGCTCCCATCTGTGACTTAACAAGCCCTCCAGGTGATTCTGATGGACCCCAAATTTGAGATCCACTGCTTTAAAGTAGCTGTTTTAAAAGAAAAGCAGTAATATCTACCTTTTCAGAGATAATGAGCAACTCCATCAGAGAAGAATGAAATTAACACTGGCATGGCAAAGGAGTGGGGGCTTAATTGAAAGAAAGAGAAGATAAACTGTTAAAGCTCTACTTCCTCAGTTCATATGTCTCTTATCCCAGCAGCTGACTGGTTCGTAAAGACCCTGATGATACAGAGCCCAGAATCTGCCAGGGAACCATGTTCCATCTGGTCTGAGCTTTACGAGGTTGATTTCCCATTTAGGATACACTTTAAAGGGAGACGAGAGGATGCAAACTCAAGACAACTTCCGATGAACGCGTCCCTGAAGTTATCATACGCAATGACCCACAAGGCCCCAACACTCTTTGCACATTCCAAACCCTGTCTCAGGAGATGCAGGCGAAAGCAGCTCTGCTTTCTTCACCTCGAAGGTCATCAGCCAATTTTCTGTGCCAAACGCCACCCACTTCAGAGGCCTGAAGACAGTTCTCTACTTACACAAAGGGCTTTTCTCCAGTGTGAACCAGGGCGTGGCGGCTGAGGTGCCAGTCCCTGACGAAGGTCTTGCTGCACCCGTCATGGTCACAAACAAACGGTCTCTAGCAGGAAGGCGACAAAAAGCACGTCAATCCTGCCTGCATCAGTGGCTCTGGTGTTACTTCAAGCCCTAAACTATCTGATGGGCAAAGCCGTGGACTCTGTCTGTAGAGGTGGTTTCCACCCAGGAAGTGCTGAGCACCTGCTACAGGAGGCCAGGCAAGGATCTCCCGCCTGGGGTTACACAACCGAAATGCCGCAGCTGCTCACGAAGTCGCTGCAGCAGGTTCTGTTCTAGGAACACCATGTGAAACCAGCGGGCAGCCTTCACAGTAACCGTACAGTACTGTGAACCTGCTCCTGACCTACATCCGGCTTCAGCAGCGGCCCCCTTAAAGATTTCCTGCCGGCTCTCAGCGCGGCCTGCGCGCACTGATCCTCTCCTCCCGCACAGCATCTCCGCATCCACTCAGAGCCCAGGGCGGGCGGTCTCATCTGGAAAAGCCCACTGTCTGCTCAGAGAACGCCCGGCACAGCTACAGAAGAGTGTGTCACATCCGAGAAAGCTCACAGGTGCCCGGACACACACAGCTCACGGCCCGAAGTGCAACCACCACGTGGGGCCCGGCAGTTGGGAGGAAGGGCCTCCACTCTGAACCCGTAGGAAAAGCCAAAACATGTCCCCCGTATAACCAGTTCTGTGCACTTAACTATGGAAAACATGCCCCAGAACAGTCCAGGAAGGAGGTACCAAGGCCTCAAAGGACTATACTGGTAGCAAAGCAGGTGGACAGGAAGACAAGAGCTGCGTTACCAGGGCAGGTGCACAGAACTCTGCACAGCCCGTCATGCAGGACGTTCAAAAAATGTCTGTCAAATTAATGTGAGATTTGGGATGACATGACTCCAAGTTTTCTAGCCTGTGTGAAGGAAGCTGAGAGTGCCAATATCCTAAATACAGCCCACGAGTCTGAAAGGAAACGTAAAGTCTAATCTGGACATCCTGGTAACAGGGCCCAGAATTTAGGGGGGTTGAACGGGCGAGAGGAAAGAGAGGAAGGCGAAGCATAAAGCACATCATGAAGGAAGCCAGTCACAGGGTAAGAAGAAGCCAAGAGAGTGGGGCAGGTGGAGAACCTCGAGGGCGGGAGAGGAGCCAGGGGAAAGGGTCAGTGAGCGGGACAAGGTCCCAGGGAGGGAACGGTCAGCCTTCAAATGCTGCAGGGGTGAGGGGGACGGGCAGCGTGAGGACACACGGAGGGGATGACCTGTAAGTCAGGAAAGTGCTAGGAGCGGAGGCAGGAGCTGCAGCACCCTGGTTAAGGGCCTTCAGCTGAGGCCCTGAGAAGCCAGACTGCCAAATCCTGGGAAACTCGGCCAATTCCTAGGCCTCCATGAGCCGCCCTTTGCTCACCTGTCACTCCTTTGCTCCTACTGCTCTCAAAACAAAACGCAGGCTCTAAACCCACTGGTACCCTGGCCTATAAATGACCCTCCAGGCGTGCCCCTCAGGCTCCCCCACCCAATCACGTTGGCCGGCGTCCACCCTCAGGACCACACGCTCCTCTGGCAGTTCTCTCTGCCCGGGCTGTTTCTCCCCCAAATGTCTGCAGGGCTGGGCCTTTCCTTCTCATTCAGGTCAAGAGAGAGGCCTCTCCCGACCACCCTCCTGCAGCCCTCTCTTCACTGCGTCGCATTCCTACTTATTCCGCTGTCCTCCCGCTTAAAGCATAAGGTCCCTGACGGCAAAAGCCTTGCCTGTCGTAACTGCTGCTCTCCGGGCCAGGACGGTACTGAACTATGAATGAACGAACACATGCTGCTTGCAAACCTCCCGTACTCTAAAGTTCTCCTCCATTCCGGTCCCAGAAGGCGGGGCCTTTTAAGGCAGGTTGGGGGTGGGCGTGGGAGGGAGTATTCCAACCTTGCAAATATTTACACGTTATGGGGACGTGGTGACTGGCCACCACTCAAGGTCAAAGACGGGGAAAGTGTTGCTTAGTGAGCCCTGAGCCCACGGCAAGGATATCTCGGTCCTAGAACTCCCTGTCTACCTCCCCGGGCCTTCCCTGCCCTAAGGCATGGCTGGTTCGCTTGTGCGTCCCGAGGGCCAAAGCTGAACGCGTCTGCGCAACCACGCGCGGGACCTTCGGGCAGCGCCCACCTGGCGTGCACCGCACCACTAGTCCCCGGCCTGGACGCCACACCCCCCGCGGCCACGCCTTCGGCCTCGTTACCTCCCCCGTGTGCTTGCACAGGTGCGCGTCTAGCTTCCAGGCCTTGTTGTAATTGGCGCTGCAGTCGGGGAAGGAGCAGATGAACCTCTGACGGGGCGCCGGGGGCGGCGGGGCTAGGCTCTCGCCGGCCGCGACGAACGCGTCGGCGATGGTCAGGGACGACACCGCCTCCGCGACGGAGGCCGGCGGCTCCAGGGTGCCCAGGGTCAGGCACTCGGCCACGTGCTGAGCCACGTGCCACGAACCGAGGCCGACCGACCGCTCCGTGAGATCCTACGCGCGGTCCGACTGCACTTCCGGTAGCGCGGCCCCGGCGGGGCGGGGCTGGAGCGCCGGCGTAGTCGCGCATGCTCCGAAAAGCCCCTCGCCGGCCCGCTTTTGCGCATGCTCTGAGAAGCTCCTCGCCGGCCCCCGCCCCTCCCGCCCTGGGGCAGGAGCGGAAGCGAGGAAACAGTGGCCAGGCCCTCATCCTCTCCCGCCCCCAGCAAAAGGTGCCCGCGAGTCGCAGGCCCTGTGATGGACCCCGAGGCGACTGTTAAATGTGTTCCCATCCGCCACCACCCTTTTCGAAGTACTACCCTTGCATGATCTAAACTATCCAGTTCTTACTACAAGCTGGGTTTGTCTTCTTTATGGATTCATTTCCTGCAAGCTCTCTACATGCTCCCTCTGCAAGCCCCCTGGCAGTGCATCCTAAACTTGCTTAAAATCACGTGGAGACCTTTTAAAACTTCCAAGCCCAGAGCATATACCGGACCAATTAAATCACAGTTTCTGTCACTGGGAAACGGGAATCCGTAGTCTGGAAATTCCCCAGGTGATTCCAACGTTCAGACAAGTTTGGGGACCACTGCCCTGAGGCCTTGCTGCTCAGAGTGTGGTCTTCGGGTCAGCAGCATCGTTCGTTTGAAATCGGAACCTCAGACCTGCTTGAATCGGAGAGGTCTCCAGGTGATGTGACGCACCTTGGAATTTGAGAAGCACTGTTCAGAGGCTTGAATGGTATGGGTATCTTTATGGGGACCACATGTTTAAAGGACATACTTGGACGAGGGTAACAATGACAGGATGGCCTGATGTTCCCCCAGGTGTGTACTTTTCACAGACTGCATCACTTTGAATCATTTGGCAAGCCCTTGTCTGATGGCGATGAGCAGTCCCTGCGAAGAAAGTGCAGTTTTGAAAACAAACCAGGACTCTCCCATGAGGATAATGGCCTGTCTTGTCGGGTCCTGAGGACTGGTAGAGGGAGTCTGGGACACGCATCCACATGCTGCTTTTCTCCTTTGCTGGTCTGACCCCTCTTCAGGGGACAAGTCCGCAGACATCCCTCCTACAACTCTGCACATCTTAAATGGTTTCCCTGGTGCTGCTGCCGGCTACCTCCTCCGCATTCCGCTGCCCCCTGGCCGTGGCGGGGTTGCGTGGTAAACCTCTTCCTCTTCCGCCCTGCTCTTGGCCTCCTGACGCACACCGTGCCCCGTGCCTCTGCTCCTGCCTTCCCAACTTCTCCCATCTCCTTAACCAACTGTTCTTCACACCTTCTTTTCGGTACCCACGACTTCGTGCTCAGCCCTCTGATGTGAGGTGTTGTAGCGGGGAGCACCGACTTTGAGGTCTAAGTCTACATTTACTCCCTGTAGGACTTTGGATAAGGTTCTTTGAATCTCTTTTCTTACCTTTAAACTGGACCATTGGAGTCATTCTTGGAGTGAATGCGACTGTATTAACCGATAGTTCCATTTATTACGTGCCACCCCCTGAGCGAAGCACATTTACCAGCAACTCTTGGCTCTCCCAACAACTCTGCATGTAAAGAAGCTGATACAATCCAGGCCGTGCCTTTTCTTTTTCTTTCTTTCCTATGAACTGATCCATCGTCCACCTCTATCCTCTCTGCAGTTTACTCTTCAATGTGCTTTCAACATCCCACGTTTCTAAATGAGTGGATTTTTTTTTCTTTTTTGCTAAAGTAAAAAACATCAAGCAGCCACCTCCAACTCAGCATTATTTGCAAGTGAAGCAATCTTACCATCTCCACCTAGTTACACTCCCTCCCTCCCGCTTGCTCCCTGCCTTTCCTGCCATTGGCAGTGTGACCCTGTCTGCCACCCACGAAAATGTAGAACAGTGGTTCTCACCCTGGCAGCACACTGGAGTCACCAGGAGCTTCTGAAAAGGATGTCTCTTGGGCCCCACCCGCACCAGTGCAAGCAGCCCCTGTCCCTCCTCCTTCCATCTGCCCATCCCTGGCCTGGCCGACTTGTGCACCTGCCTGTCCATTCCCTCCCACCTGCTGCCCAGCTTTGCTTTGCTCTGAGCCTGGACACCTGAAACAGCCTCTCAACCGCTTTCCTACCTTAACACTCTCCTACCTCTAATCTCTCCGTAAAACACTTGAGACTTTCGAGGTTTAAGTTTGCAAGGCTGGCATTTGCAAAGCATTTTTGTTCCTCTTAGCTATTATTCCTACAAGTCGGGTAAAAGCACTCAGGTGGGAAATGGGGTCCCCGGGCTCAGGCCCCCTCCAGGCCCCGAATGGGCTTGGTAGTTTGGCAACCCAACTCTGAATCCTGGCTCTACCATTTACTATTTGGCCTCGAGAGAGAGTTATTTAATTCCTCTGAAGTGTGTGTTATCTGTACAATGGGGATAATGATATCTATGCCACAGTGTTGCTGGGAGATTTATATGAGACAGTTAATTCATATGAGGTGCTTAGCTCAGGGCTCAACATAATAAGTAATCAAAAATTAGTAGCCTTTATTTTTTTCCCCACTTGCTGCTGGCTTATGCCTTCTATTCTTACCCTTGAGTTGCGGTTGGCAGGCTGCTCTGACAGCTTCCAGTGAACTCGGCTTACTGGTATTCACATCCTTGTGTGATTACCCACCCCCTTGGGGTAGACTGGACCCTGTGAATTGTTTCTAACTAATAGCATAAAGCAAAGGTGATGGGATGTGATTAGGTTACAAAACACTGGGACTTTCATCTTCCTAACAGACCTTCATTCCCTTCTGGGCTTGTGCACTGTGACAAAACAGCAACCACACTGGAGAAACCCACAGGGCAAAGAACTGAGGGTGGCCAACAGCCAACTAGGAACTGAGGCCCTTGGTCCAGCAGCCCTGGAGGAACTGAATCCTACCAACGACCATGTGAGCTTAGAAGCAGATCCTGCCCCAGCCAGACCTTGGGATGAGACCTTAACCCTGGCTGACTCCTTCATTGCAGCCTGGGAGAGACCCTGAAGCCGAGAACCTGGGTAAGCCAGGCCCAGATTCCTGACCTGCAGAAACTGTGAGATAATAAGTGTGTGTTTGTTTACGCCACTAAATTGGGGGGTGATTTGTCATGCAGCATAACTAACGCATAGTTACATTACACAAAATAACTCTAGACCTGGTAGTCCTGCGCTCACACTAAGGAGAGGGCATCTGAACAAAGAGGTTTCTGACCGGAAGGAGACCCTGACCCAGCATCCAACCATCACACAAATTTCTTCCTATCCAGAAATCACACAGTGTGACAAGAACGCATGTAGTTATGGCGATAAATGGACAAAATAGCTTGAATGTGGACTGCCCTTCAATATGTGGTCCCTTTAACCCCGATTTTATTCTTATCTCCTAATGTTTACTTCTCCCGGTTTGGTCCAGCACAGACAAGGTGGTCAGCTAGGGCCACTGTCCTAGCAGATCAAGCAAAGCACCAGGACATCATCCCTGAAACCCACCTTTAACTTGAAGCTCTGTTCCTTCTTTTATAGGCATGCCATAGAAAGACTTTTGGATTCAGCCCCAATTGCCACTAACTACTTGAGTGCGACTTTGGGCAACTCTCCGTAACCTGCTTTGCCTGGTCTGTGAAATAGAGGAGACCCTGCCCTGCCTTCCTCTCACAGTTGCTATGGGCATCATATGGGAACTTGGCGAGTTAACTGACCTCTCTGAACTTCAGTTCTCCATCAGCCAACTGAGGACAATAGGACCTACTTCACAGATTGTGAGGATTAGCAAGAAAATGCACGTAAAACACCTTTGCCAACCATGAAGTGCTAGCCATCTGTAAACTGTTACTGACACTAGGTTCTCAAATATTGGCTCAAACAAAAAGTGAATGAGCCAAGGTCATCCCAAGGATGACCAAGGTAGGATTGAGCAAGAGAGATTCCACCCCTCGGCCACATCCTCAATATAGCCCGTCTCCCCCGTCCCTCAGGGAGCCTCCGGGGTCACTGATCATCTAACCAGTCAGGAGAGGTCCCCCAGGCATCACCTGTACCTTTGTCCTTGCTCCTCTGTCAGCAGAGTCCTCGCCCTCTTGCAGCATCTGTTCTTGGACCACCTCCCACCCCGCCACGACCTCCCTGGGAACCATCAGTGGGCAGTGGGAGACGCGGGACACCTCCCTTCTTGGCTGTCCGCTCACCACGCAGTTCCAGCCTGGCTTGTCCAATTAGCCCTCCTCTCGCTTCAGTCTGATCGTTGAATTTTCCTGCAGCTGTAATTGCCCCACCAGAGTACCGCCACGGGCCTGTGCTTAATCACTCCCACCCACTTCAAACCCATCTGAGCCGGGAGCAGCCAGATTCCATCTAGTTAGTGAGACCTAATTGCTCTCTGATTACCCACAGGGTCAGGTGCTTGAATGCTCATAGTTTCCATCCACAGCCCGTGCAAGATTTTTGCGTTTGATAATTTCCTCCATCAGCTTTTTTCACCGAGCGCCCAGAGACGCCCCCGGCAGAGCTGAGCAGGAGTCCTCGCCCCATTTATGGATGGCTGCTTGGTTTACCTTAGGGGTGGAATCCATCCATCTCCCTTTACTGCTTCATCTCTGTCCAGTCCACCATCATCTCACCTGATCTCCAGGTGCATCCTGCAGCCAGGGTCCCCCTCTCCAGTCCTTTCTCCACACGACTGCTAAGGGATCCTTTCCAAAAGCCAGGGATTTCAGTGGTGTCCTAGAGCCTTTAGGATAAAGCCCTGACTCCTTACTGTACCCCGCACGACCTCAATTCGCACCCCTCCCACTTGGTCCAAGCCCCCCCCTCCCCGCTCGGTCCAACCCCAATGAGCTTCCTTCATTACTCACAACTGCCCATCACCCATTTCCCCGCATACTCTCCTCTCAGTTTTGTATCACTCTCTCTTCTCATAGAGCCTATAGATTTCCCAACACTGCTATGAAGAAACAGGAACCATCTCTTTTCAGATAGAGGGTTGTGTGGAGAGAGGATGGGACGGGCAGGGGTCTCCTGGCTCCTTGGG